TCCAGACTATCCAAATGATACATAATGATCAGAACTCATCAACTAATCACTTAAGATCTGTGTATTTTATTGTATGTAAATTATACCTCAATTAAAACAAAACACATTGAACATTCAACTTAAGCAAGATAGAAGATACCATGTATGCATTTCTTTTACCTCTCTTCTTGAATGTAGAGTAATCACTGATATGGGGAAAGGTGGCTCCCCCTCTCCCCGACCTTTTAGATAATATTTTGTGTATGTTCTTAGGTTAAATATTTAAGAGGCAAATTAATATAGTAAAGATTTCAAAGAATTAAAGTTTCTATTAGGCTTTGATGCTCTTTAAGATGATTAGGTTATTTAACAAGTCATAGTCATTGGAAAAAAGCCAAATAGTTATGGTGGACTCTTATGGTCTGGGACTGTACCATTTGTTCAATTGATAAACAACTCACTGTGTTCTAGGCATTGTTTATACATTAACTCGTTTAATGTATAAGGTTAAGACTGTTCTGTATTAGAAATTGTATATGTATGTGTGTGTTTTTTCTGTCTTACTTGGTTTAAAGTGTAAAAATTTTAATGAGCGGGGAAGCAAAACAGTTATATTAGAGATTTTATTTATTAGTATAATACTTGGTGTAAGAAATATTCACCTCAAAATTCAGCACTCACTAGTTGCTGACATCAGTTTTGGAAATGCCAGTAGATTTTTGTATTGCTTTTAATGATTTTAGGTTTTAACATTTGATTAGTGGATTGCTCTCATTTGGCCCTGCTTTCTTGAAAATTTTATTTTTTCATTAATGACTTGGAGATACAAAAAGATAATCTTTTGTGAGGCAGCATGGCTTAAAAAGTTTGGGCTTTGGAGTTACATGCATAACAGGTTTGATCATAATTTAACTACTTACTGGCTTTGGAGTTACACTCATAACAGGTTTGATCGTAACAGCTACTTACTGGCTTTGGGACCCTGGGCAAATTACCCCATCTTTTTGACCCTCAATTTTTCCATCTATGAAATGGTAATGTTATTTTGTAGAATTGTTAGGATTAAATGAGAATGTATTTTCCATACTGGCACATGGTCTTTTTAATAGGAGATGGATGCCAAAGTCTTGAGTAAAATCTTAAACTCTGGGAATAAGGAAGGTGAGAATCTGAGGAAAATGAAACCTTAATTAAGACTGAATTCCTAAATTCTATTTAAAGGAAAGATTTCATAGTTGCTCTACAAGACATTATAGAGCAATGGATTGCTTCTCTGAAAGAGATTCCCATGTTGATTCCGGCCTTTGACTCCTTATTTGCCTGATTAAATTGAACTCCCTGCCATGGCATTCGTAAAACTAGACCTGATAATCTGCCTGTCCTACTCCTTATCTTCTGCCAGTTCTGCTGCTTTCTCCATAAAACTTTGTGTGTGAGCTGCACTAGACTGCTCACTTTTTTTTTTTTTTTTGAAAATTGTATGCATTTCCATGTCTGCACTAAGCTCTGCTTGGAATGTTGTAATTGCTCGTTTGTTCTGTCTACTTATATCTGACTTCTTAAGGATTATTTAACATGTTACCTACTTTGTGAAGTTTTATCTCTGACCCTACAGAATTAATCCTTCTTTCTCTAGCTCATAAAACATCTTGATATATTCTCAATAGAGCCTTTGGCACAGTTGTAGGTCTGTGTGTCTGTCTTCCCTGATAGAATAATTAATTCCTTGAGTGCAATAGTTTTCACTTAGCCTTAAATTCTCAGTGCCCCTTCTACAGAATGTTCCATGTGTTTCAGTGTTAAAGTGAATGAAGGAGGATGCCAACTGAGTTACTTTAATGAGTATTTAACATTCCCATTTATGTAGTCATAGACAAATAGTTCCTTTAAGTTAACCAAATTTTTTGCAAACTTACTTTATTAGTGTTCCTAATGCAACAATAGATTTGAGTTTTCTCTCGGTTTAAATGATTTCATTTAAAGGGGTTTTATACAGTACTTCTGTGCTTTTATTTTTTTATTTTTTTATTTTTAAGATTTTATTTATTTTTTAGGGAGGGGGGAGAGAGACAGAGAGAGAGAGAGAGAGAGAGAGAGAGATCAATGTGCGATTGCTGGGGGCCGTGGCCTGCAACCCAGGAATGTACCCTAGCTGGGAATCAAACCTGGGACACTTTGGTTCCCAGCCCGCGCTCAATCCACTGAGCTACGCCAGCCAGGGCTGTGCTTTTCTATAAAGATAAAATCTTACTAGTATTCTCACAAATTAAAGATTATGTTAGGTAAGCTTGTTAGTGGTAATTATTTAATAAAAAATATTTATCTTGCATTGCTCAGGAAAACTTGCATGATTTGAATTGGTACTTCTCACTAAAATGTATTTACAATTTTTTAGCTAGGAATTCCAGATTGGTGGTAGCTGCCACTGCTTTGGGTTCCCTACTGCTGCCTCATTTTTTCCTGACTGTTGACGCCACATTTTCTTATGCTTGTGCTCCAAGACAGAGTTAAAAAAGTAAAGATTATTCATGTTCAAGGAATGGTACTGCTGGAGGCTTGATTTAAGCCTCTGTTGCCGCCTTCTTTTTTTTTAAATCCTCACCCAAGGACATGTTTATTGATTTTTAGCGGGGAAGGAGGAGAGAGAGATAGAGGGAGGGAGGGAGGGAGGGAGCGAGGGAGGGAGGGAGAAAGAGAAAGAAACATCGACATGATGGAAAGGTAGCGACCCTTTGCCTCCTATATGTACCTGGACCACACCCTGACCAGGGATTGAACCCTCAACCTGGGTATATGTCCTGACCTGCCATTGATCCCACAACGTTCCAACCAATTGAGCCACCCAGCTAGAGCTATTCCACTTTATTCCTCTCATGAATGAACATAATACTCTGAAACATTTCAGTAACTGACCAAGAGCTACATTTTTTGGTGGGTCTACTTTCTTATAGATGATAGTTAATATTTGTGATGTTAGCTAATAATAGATGATAGCTAATATTTGTGATCTTAAAAATTACCATCCTAATAGTTTTCTTTCGGAATCTTCATAGTAGAAGAACCCTTTGAGATTTGGGTGAATTTATGTATCTTAAAGTGACAAAAACTGTTCCTGGCACATAGTAAATGCTACTTATGCCTTAGATACTGTTATAATAATTTTGGGTGGTATAAATTCAGCATTTTAAAAAACTATATACAGAGCTGATTCTGAGTCATCGGAACAGGACAGGACACGGTTTTCTCATGATCCTTAGTAAATAGACTTGGAGATAATTAGAAAACAACAGTTTAAAAATCCGTTATAGAAACAATGCAGGTGCATTGTGTCCAAGACAAAATACAAAACAAAAAATGAGAAAAAATATATTTCCACCACCTAGAGATTATTACTTAGCTTATACCTTAGTTTGTAATCTTTTTATCTGCATGTGACTCTTTGGAGACACACACACACACATATATATATATACATATATATTTATATATATTTTTTCCTTTTACCAAATGGTACCTCACTGTACATTCTCTTTTGCAACCCTCTTTATTCATTAATTTCTACTTACCCATTTCAGTAAATTTTCATCTTGTCCAATACCCAGATCATATTAAAATTTATCTAGTTGGCTCAAAAATGTCCTTAATGGCTGGTTTGTCTAAAACAGTATCCAGAACAGCATTTGTGCCTGTGAACTTGGCTGTTAGACCCTTTAAGTCTTTTTTAGATATATATATGTAAATATTATTTCTTTTATCCAAGATGAAATGTTATTCTTTAATGAAATATTTCTTTTATCCAAAAAGTAGCATGATGTATATACACTATTATGCCTGTCTTTTTTTCTTAAAATATTCTGTAAATCTATCCAATCAATACATAGTAATCTTATGAATAGATTATATAACAACCCTTTCTTAAATTATGAAAATAAAAGCTTTCAGTAATTTAATAATTATTTTTGGATCAAAAAGAATAGTGAAATCAGCTCACTAATGTGAATACAGCAGAAAGTAAAGAAAAAGATGTAGGAAAGGGCACTGGGTTTGGTGAATTTTGAATTGTATTTTGGAAAATGAATGTGTCTTGAAGTAGGTGAGTGGATGACTTTAGAGATGATCTTGAAGGGAGGTTTTAGGCAGACAAGCTTGGTTTGTCTGAAAGATTCCAGTCAGAAGACCATGAGATTAGAGAAGATGGATGGAGCTCAAGAAGAACTGAGAGCTGGTATGATGGACATAATACATTGAAATGTAGATTATTGGTCATTTTTTATAGTTAATTTGATATAAATTCTTATAAATGTAGAAGTTTGTTTTTATGCCAACTGGAGTGTGTAACAAGGGAATAGAATGGGTATTCTAAGTATTGATTACCTTGATAGGAAATGAGAGTAAGTTTCTACCCTAGTTTGTTGTTATCAAGTCTTAAATACTAAGGGTTAGTAGAGATCTTAATGGTTGTCTTAATGTAGTAATCGTGTGGAATAGGAAATTGAAATCTAAGTGTCTTGTCCAAATTGGTACAAGTGGTTAGAGGCATAGCCAGCTCTTAAATCTGATGTCCTAATTTTTAATGTATCTACTTACCTCTATCCCATGGTGCCTTCTATAATCAGAAAAATTAGAAGTTATAAAGCTTTTGTTTTGTTTTTAATTTGATTTTTGGGTTTTGTCCTAAGATACTTAGTACTTGTGATTTATAAAGTCCGAGGTTTTCATTTGTCATATATACCTAAATACTATAAATATAGAAGCTACTTTTTACCTTAGGTATGTTTTTAATGTACTTAGTAGAGGGATTTGAAAATTATTTTGCCAAGAAATCATTTAGAGGATTTTTTTTTGAAAGAATGACTGTGTTTGCCTGTATTAATTACACATGATGGTTTATAAATAAATTTGACAATTTTTAGTAGCATAGCTGTAGTGGGGAAAGCTTTTTAAAAATAATGTTTTAAAAATGTGTGCATGTAGTTTGCATTGTTGCATATTTTAGATGTTTTCTTAACTTAAATACTCAGATATTTATCCCAACATTATTGCTATGGGGTTTCCAGCAGAAAGACTTGAAGGTGTATACAGGAACAATATTGATGATGTAGTAAGGTAAGAACTCCTAATTTTCTTTTTTGAATATTTACATATTAATGCTGTATTTTAATTTAGAAGAGATTTCTAAACCATTGAAAAAGATGTAGTTTGTAAGAAGGAATTTCAGGGGACAATGGGAAGGGTTCATGGGAACAAATTTAAAGGACACATGGACAAAAACTAGGGGGAAGGTGGTAATGGGAGGGAAGTGGGGAGGGTTGGGAGGGTTGGCTGGATTGGGAGTAAAAGGGAGAAAACTGTACTTGAACAATGATTAAAATAAAATTAAAAAAAAGAAAAGAAAAAGATGTAGTTTGTCATGTAAACTTGATTTTTGTTACATTGGTGCTCTACAACTGCTTGCTTTTTTTTTTCCTATTGTATCTAATGGGCTTCAATAGGCTACAACTCATTTGATAAGAACAAACTTTTTAAATAATTAGATGTCTGCGATATGCTTTCATGGACTCTGTGATCCTCAGTAGATTAATGCCTAGATTTTGTTACACTGTGTGTGAGTTTTGTTTTTTATTTCACAATTGGGGATTAGGTGTAAAATGCAATCCTTGAGTGCATTTATTCACTTAAATGTATTTATCTTATGATACAGATAACTGATACCATGTATTTTTACATAGAGAAATTTAGAATGGATCATAAGTTTACCAAGCACCTAAGAAAGTATTTGGTACAAGGGATCTAGAAAGACATTGCTGGGCATGCCAAAGCCTAACTTTGTGCATTTTATAATTTTGCATAATTTTCTTACAGTAATTATCATTTATTTCAGAACAAGACCCATTGAAAAGGCCCATTTCAATAATTGTTAATGTGTTTTATGACCTTACTACCTAAATGTACCTGACCTAAATGTACATGATACATTTTGTGTTTGCTGTGTAAATAGTCTTACATATTTTCTTATTTCAGAGCAGAAATATATATGAAAAAATTAACTGTAAAATATCATTAGGAACTTTAATGGCTTTTTAAAAGTTATAATTTTGGATTATTTTTTCTTGAAGAGTTTCAGTTTAAATGTTTGCTGGTTATGAGAATTAAGTGTTATAATGCGTGGTAAAGCTTTTAAAGTATTATGCAATGTAGAATTCTTTTTACAATAGTCATCTAACTATATAAGCTTACATATACCCTTATATGAGCTAGCCATAAGTTGTTAATTTTTAGCAATTTGCTTTGAACCAAAGTATATTTAGGGTTTTGCAGCACTGAATTGTGTCCAGTTGGATTTTTGTAGCATTCACGTTGTATTCAGAATTAAATTTGTTTTTACAAAAACTACAAAAGAACCCCAAACTACTTCATTGTGGTTTCTGTTACAATTATAGGTAGTATACACGAGGCTATCAGGAGTACTATTTAAGAAATTGAAAATAGGGAAATGGATTTGCCCTTGTCATAGGCAGAAACGCAGTGGAAGGAGGCTTAACATTGAAGATCCATGGGAGTCACAGGCTTAATTAGTAATATCAACAGGAAATGGAATGGGTGATAGAAAAGAGAATGAGCAAAGTTATCTTTGAATGGAAAGATGAAGAATCTGAGAAATGAGCAGTACAGTCACCAGACATGTATTCTTCTATGTGGTGCAGGAGTGTTTATCACGCCTGTGTGGCCTAAATGAACTATCTCATAAGATGATCTCCTTCACATCATTGTAATTCTATATTCAACCAAGTACTGATTTAACCAAGTCAGATTAGTATTCATACTGAGAAAGAGTAAGGATAAGTTTTGTGATCACTGTGATTATATTTATATGGTAAATTGATCTGGTGTGCTAGTTTTTTCATTGTTCTCTACTGAATGCAAATTAATTAATCTCTTCTGACTGTGAGTTAGTCACTGAGGCTGAATGATCATCTTTTAGGTTACTGATGAAGTCCAGTTTTTGGAATTACACATTTGATTATCAGACCTTAAATTGTAATAACTTCACCAGAAAATACTTTGCTGGGAAGTATTATTTTTATGTGTCATTTCCTGACCTTATAACCACTGCTTTTATGCTTCTGAATTGATTCACACATTTAGTTTGTAATCAGTAACCAAAGTTGAAGTTAAGTCTGTCTGCTTTAATGTATGTAATGTATTTTATCTAGTTTTTAAGTTTTCCAAATCTGTTATTCCTAAAAATGTTTTGTGTGTATAGTTTGTTATGTAGCCAATGGTTGCTTTAGCTGACTGATCTTGTCACCTTGTAGTAATGGTAATGGTAATAGCATATAAAAATGAATTATCAGCTGAATATAATAGCTTTGCTTGTTTTTGTTTTATTCTCTTCTCTTTCTGACTTGGAGGATAAATGGTCAGTAAGGCTTTGTTGACTTCAGTTGCTTACCCCACTTCCCCATCTTTTTAAGAGAAAGACTGAACAGAGACAGGGAAGGGAGATACAGTTTTTCCTGTGAGCTAAAATGAAAATAAATAATTTCTAATTGTCTATTGGGATTGACTTTGACATCCTGGATTAGTTCACACTATATTGGAGACAGTAGTTATAATCAGTAGTGGTTTCTTTGTGTTCCAAAGATGATAATATCTCAGTAAAAAAGTCTATTTTCTTACTATCTTTTCTGTTAATGAAACTATTTTCAGTTGGATTGTCCTTTACCCTCTGCATTGGGGTGTATAATGAATATTATCTTTTTCAAAATCCATATTTTTTCTTATTATTTTCCTCCAAACAGGAAATATTATGCAGAGTTCAGACTTTGTTGTATCAGTGCCTTGAGTAAAAGAAAGTACGTTTGTAAATACCTTCATGCTGAAATTATCCAGTATTTAACTGTTTTGGGATATGATGTAGCAGTGTGAATTTTATACTTAAGATATTCAAAGTACATTTGTGACAAATATTTAACTTCCCATTATTAGGTTACCTCCTATGATCAGTAATAAATGTAAAAAATAAACAAAAAGGGAGAGGATGGGCAAAGTGAACCAAAGTGAACTTTTTTTACCATCCTAATTGCAAATGTTTTATTATTAAGCAATCAGAATTGACAGGGCAGAACAAGGACCCCTCATAGAAATGATGTTGAAGAGCTAACTTTCCAGATTTTTCTTCTTTTTGTCTTATCCATCCCCCCCCCCCCCCAGTCCCCACCTTCTTTCTTACCACTAAACTCTTGCTCTTACTAGCTGGTAATGAAACAATGTTTTTTCAGATAATTGATTATTTTTTTATATGTATGTTAATCTTATTCCTCAGGCTAATATTTAAGTTATCTAATGTATATATTATCTGGTATAAATCTAAGCAGTCTTTAACAAATTGATACTTCATGTGTTTAACAGACATAGCCTGAGAACTGTTCTGTACCTAATAAATCAGGGAAATGTTGGTTTAATAGAGGTGAACTAGCTTTCTTACTGCTGCTATGCACTGAAATAAAATTCTAATAAGCTGCTTTCCTTTTTCCCCCTTCTCTTTCCCTCCCTTCCTCCCCCTTTGTCTTGTGCTTTTCTTTTGTATATTAAATAACATGTTTTTGAACAGTGTTTTATGGAGCACAATTGGGAAATGTTGAAAATGAAAAAAGATGCATGTAACAGTATTTTCCCCTAGTCTGAATTAGTGGTAAATAATTTATTTCTTCCTCTTCTAGTGGAAAGATTTCAGATGTGGGAAGAGTCCCATATTTTTTGTAAGGATATGCTTAGAGTTTACTCTTCTGATAAATAGTGATTTTTTTTTTAAAGACACCCATTATCTTGTATAGTATCACTTTTTTACCTATATATAAACAGCTATACTACAGATTCAGGAGTCCTTTTTTCCTGTTTTGTGAATTTTCTTATTGAAGAAATTTTCCAGATTTTTAAAAATTATATGTTGATCTTTCAGTCAACCATTAAATTATATGTTAATTTGCAGTGAAAAAAGAAGTGTTATCCTAACATTACCATTATTGGCTATTCGGTTAAAAAGAATTGAAAGGAGATTATTTAGAGGTTTTAATGTCTAGAGATTATTCAAAATAATTTTGAGGCAAGTATCAATTCCACTCTCCATTTCCAACAATTTTTGACCTCTTCCTTCATATTGCCTCTGTTTCCTGCTTTTTTTTCTTTATTGAGGTGGAAACCATATAACACAAATTAACCATTAAAAAAAGTTTTTTTTCCCTCTCAACTGCCACAGGTAGCAAGTAATAAGGTTGAGGGTTGAGTCCAGGTCTGTCAGATTCCGAAGCTCATTTCCCTAATAACCACATAATCCTGTATATTAGAGGACAAAAATTGAAACTATTAGGCTAATCTAGCCTGTTGTCATCCTTTGTTTGCCCTAACACAGCATTGGTCCATGCAGTGTGGGAAATCATCAAGGAAGGTCTTTGCTGGTATTATACCAAACAACTTCTTTATGATTTGAGTCTGCAGATTGAAAAGACCTATGTAGTGCAGAACATAATAAATGCAAATAGGCCAATACCAGGCAAATTATTATTATTTTTTGAGATACTATCAAATTATTTATTCACTATACACAGAACATGTCCCCTATAAAATGTACATGTCAATCACTAAAAAGTATAACTTGGTGAACATTTTCTCCAATTAATTATAGCACCCAGTGTTCTTCATATCTAATGTAAAATGAAATACTTGCAGGGGTTTTTCTCCTAATGTGTTTGAGGAAGCAGAGTTAACAATATAATTCTAGTATATTATAGTCACTGCACAATAAATCAGTTTATTACAGATTAAACATCATTTTTTCATTATTTATATTAATGGGATGCAAACAGAAATAAATACCAGATACTTTTAAATGGCAGGTAACCACAAAAATTACTTATCTTTGATAGTATATTGGGTTTTATAATTACATTGGATATGAATGGTGTAAAATATTGCCACAAACAATACACCTCAAACAAAAACAATGAGGCAATACTATAATGTTATTCACTAGATTGTGCTCAGTGGACATTTATTGAATAAGTGAATTTTTAATCTATTTTCCCCCAATTACCCAGTACAATTTT